ATGCAGGCACATCTTTTCTGAGCCATTTGAGAATGACCTGCCAACCTTGCGCACTTTCACCGTAAATATTTCAGGTGAGCTTCCTCAGACAAGAACATACTTACGTAACCACTGTATGCTTATTCAAAGTTGGGGAACTTAACCTTCAATAATCCTATAATCAAACATAATAGCATTCTATCGTAATATAATACGCTATATGATAGCTTATATCACACATTATAAATTTTGCCAATTGTTTTATCAGTGTGCCCCTTTAGTCTATTTCTCTATACCACAAATTCATCATAGAAGCTCACTAACCCACTGCCCCACACGACCCCCTCAAGCCAGAGCACCTACCACAGGTACCGAGTGAGGCCCGAGGCAGTACTTGTAATTAGGCGTCAGGGGGGCATCCCCCAGAACTCCGCCTGTTCACGTCTCAGGCCTGGAAGAGCGTCCAGTGCTTACGGCTTCAGTCACAGCCGGTTGACTAGATACCCTCTGGCAGTCACAGCTGGTTGAGTAGACACCCTCTGGCAGTCACAGCTGGTTGAGTAGACACCCTCTGGCAGTCACAGATGGGTTGACAAGACACCCACTGTCAGTCACAGCTATAGTCACACACGTGATGTTTGGGTGCAAGACCCTGGGGTATCATAGCCCAGAAGGCTGCCTGCCCATCAATCTTTAGCCAGATTTATTTCCAGGAAATCACAGATATTCAAGTTTTCTGGCTGATTCATTCATACAGTTTGAGCTATTAGGTACCTAGTTACCCAAAGAAAAATTATAGGGAACTGTTAGCTACCATTTGTTATTGGCTTTACTAGATAAATAGCCACTATTAAAATGACGCTTACAAATTATGACCAAGAGTCAATGTTAAAATTGGCTCGTGGCTGTGAAGGTCACGCTGGGCTGACTCACTGTGGCTCACACCCAGATCCCTGTTTGGCCCTGGCCTTCTGGGCTTTTAGAAAGGAATTTTACCTCTTGCTGTTAGAGCTTTCTTATTCATAAATCTAATATTAGATTTATTTGTGAAATGTTGGCAAGCTCAGCTTAAAGGGCCTATGTTATTTAAAACCTATGTTATTTTTGAAAGCAACTAAAGAACCTTGATTGCTTCTCTTTTTGTAATAACAATTTGGCAAATGCCTAATTGGGGCCCTCATGCAGGTCGCTGACCCTGAGCGAGGCTGTTGTGCTTTTTGGGAGAACAGTCAGGCCGCGGAGGTCGGCTACTGACGGTGCTTTATGAAAACCTCCCCAGAGCCCACCCTGGCTGGGGACCGAATCGTGAGCAGGGCGTCTGTCCCTCCAGACTGACCAGTGAGGCTCCCGCGGAACCCAGGAGGGGCTGCCCAGGCTCCATCGGTGAACCGTAGGCGGGGCTGTGTGCCGCCAGGGGCGGGCGTGGCGGCAAAGTCCTCGCGGCTCCTCTGTCCTGCTCCAGGGTGTCGCCAGGGGCTGGCGCATCTCAGGGGAGCAGAAGGGCGTGTGGCCCTCCCTGGTTTTCACGGCTGTGTGGGGAGACGGCACGGGAGCAAGCAGTCGTGAAAACAGAATGCGCTGGTCCTTCGACACGTTCAGTGCGTGCCAGCCGTGCGCTGGGAAGATGGAGTAGAGGGGGAAGCGTGGCCCTGCCCCTGCTCTCTGCATCCTGAAGTGCTGGGGCGGGAACATTAATACGATCATCATATAAAACAATTCTGGAAGCAGACATGCAGGCGTGCCTGGGATCCGTCCCACACGGCGCGAGAGCACGTGGCAGGGGCCCTGGTGCTGAGCCGCGGGAGGCAGTGGGGACACAGTGGTCTCATTCAACCGCTCGGGCTGGTCCCCGGGGGATGGGAAATGTCACCGGCGAGGCCAGGCTGTGTTTCGCAGAGCACCGCTGGCCAAGGGCCTCCGCTTGCCCCAGGTGGACGTGGAGCGTCAGCGGGCCCGGGGACCGGGCTGAGGCTGGGTGCTCTGCGGAGGCACCTGGCACAGGCAGACGGTCGCAGAGCCTGCCCTGGGCTTGCTGTGGGCGCCCCCTCTGCCCCAGGCTCAGGAGGACAGGGTGGGGGGCATGCCCTGCCGGGGCACGCAGGGGGCCAGACGGGCTCAGGGGAGCCCAGCACGGCCCACCACCAGGAGAGTGACGGTGAGGCCCCTGCAGTCCCCATGAGGAACCGAGGGCGCCTGGGGACCGGGCCTGGGTGTCTCCCCGAGTGCGATGGTCTCTGGTCTCCCTGTGTGTTCAAGTGCCCTTCTGGCCCACCAGAGTCCCTGACCCGACCGCATCGGGGAGTCGCCACGCCCTGCTGTTGATGCGGCCCTGGCAGGAGGACATTCCACTCCATCCCGGCCGGGCTCTGCAGCTGCCCAGGCGCTCAGGGAATGCCGTGGGCAGGCGGCAGCCACGCGGCCTGCGTGGACCTGGCCGGGCTCTGCGGGAAGCTCTGGGAGCCCACAGCGGAACAGCAGCTGTCCCGACTCTCGCCCCTCAGTGGCGACGGCCCGCATGCGCGCCAGGTCAGGCAGCGGGCGCGCTGGGAAGTAAGAGGACCACGTCCAGGGGGTCCTGAGGTCGCACTGTGACCCCTGAGGGGCCGAGGAGAGGTCTGCGTGCGGTCGCCTGTGCCGGGGCATCTGAGCTGGGCGGTCAGGAGCGGGGAGCTTGCCTGGGGGAGTACGGGGCAGGGCGCGGAGCCTGCGGGCAGGGAGGGGGCTGGGCTCGTGCGCAGCCCGGAGCAGGCGAACCCAGGTCCGAACAAGGGCTGTTCCCCGGGCCCTCGGGCATCTGCGGACGGCCTGCTCTGCTGTGTGTGCACGACGCTGCTCCGGGCGCCGGGGGCAAAGTGAAGAGCGGGGTAAACGCTGCCTGCCCAGGGCCTGCGTTCTACTGCAGGGAGCCGGACAAAAATAGAAATGACATGTTTGAAATGCCATTCAAATCTCAGAAGTGTAAGCACTATAATAAGTCACCCCGGGAGATGTGCTGGAACAGTGGCGGGCAGTGGGCTCAGGAATGCCCCTCGGGGGACGCTGGTCAGCCTGAAGGTGCTGAATGAATGTGCTGAGCCTGGGAACAGCTCATGCAAAGGCCCTGAGGTAGGCGTGTGCCAGGCAGGCTCAAGCAACCAAAAGAGGACCAGCCAGAGCCACTCGGGTCCTCCAGGGGCTACTCCAGGGCCGGGGCGGACAGGGCAGGTGGAGCTCAAGGCTGGCGACCAGGTGGGCTGGGCTGGGAGGGCGGACGTGCAGCTGGCAGCGCGAGTGGCATGAGGACCTGAACGTGCAGGGCAGGCACAGCCAGCAGGGCCACAGGCCAAACGCAAGGAGGAATTTGGTGAACGGCGATTATTAAACACCGGACTCGTTGAGGGAGGCTGTGAAATCTCTCATCACAGCGGCAGCTCCCGCGAGACCGCTTCTCGCGGAGGAGAGCGCGTGCGCGGGGAGTCTGAGCCCAGCACCCCGTGCCGTGGTCAGGAAGCTCTGGGAGTCTTGCGGAGGCCGGAGCGTAAAAGCCGTTGCCTGAGCCAGGAGGTGGGTGGAGACGTCCGGCAGCCCCACAGCCTACTCTTGGTGTCTGCGTGATGTCTTGGTGACACCCTAGACTTGTCACCAGCTGACAGACCTGAACGTGACGCAGACGAGCCGCTGAGCCCGGCAGCTGACTAGATTTAGATCCGCTGCGACTTCGCGAGGTGAGGAGGACACGGGCAAATTGGCCTGGCGTGGCCGCGGGGAGGCGGGCGGGACGCAGGTGTCCAGCCTGGGAGCCAAGGCCTGGGCGGGGAGGGTGGTCGCACCGCGGCCGGGATGCCCCAGCCTGAGGTTGCAGAAACGGGGCCTTTCCAAGTCGGTGCAGAGCCGCGTTTAATCTCCTCCTCCTCCAGGCACGCCTCCTGGCGGCGGGGGCGGGGGGGGGACGGAGCCCCAGCTCAGCTTCCCTCTTTCTGTCCAGACCGTGGGGCCCCGGGGCCACCAGCAGGACTGTGGAGAGTGGCCGATCCCCTCATATGTGACTGAGCCTGCAGGCCTTTGTTCAGAAGATCGGAATGTCCCCAAAGCAGGACAGTCGTCCAAGTGACTCACCTGCAAAGGCATTAAGATGATTGAAGCAGCCCAGCAGGCAGGGATGGCCAGTGACCGGGGCCTGGAGACAGGCAGTGACGGGGGCAAGGGACAGTGACCAGGGCCTAGGGACAGTGACCAGGAGCAGGGGACAGTGACCAGGGCCTGGGGACAGGCACTGACCAGGGGCAGGGGACAGTGACCAGGGCCTGGGGACAGGCAGTGACGGGGGCAAGGGACAATGACCAGGGCCTGGGGACAGACAGTGACCAGGAGACAGGCAGTGACGGGGGCAAGGGACAGTGACCAGGGCCTGGGGACAGACTGTGACCAGGAGCAGGGGACAGTGACCAGGGCCTGGGGACAGGCACTGACCAGGGGCAGGAGACAGACAGTGACCAGCTGGGCAGGTTTGGACGCTCCGAGGGACTATGGGGGACCAGGCGAGGCTGTCCCCACTCCCTGCCTGGAAGATGCATCCTTGACCCCATGGTGTCCCCACTGTGGTCCGATGGCCGCCCTGCGCTGGGCCCGCGGCGGGTGCTGACCCGACACGCCTTCTCCGCTGTGTGTCTCCACCACCGAGGTGGGATCTGGGGTGCGGGCGGATGGCGTGTGAGTGGGTGCGTGGCGGGTAGAGGTGACACGGAGCAGGCGGGAACGGCAGGAGGAGGGACTTGGGGTGTGGCTGTTGAGTGCCGTGGCGGGCGTCGAGCCTGGGCCAGCCCACAATGCCAGTGCGCCCGGGAAGTAAAAACGTGCTGCCAGTCCAGGTGTCCCCAGACTGGGGGCCCAGGAGTGTGAAACAGAGCCCCCGTCAGTGGTGGCTCCGCTCTGGGCACAGCCGTCCCTGGCACCCCGGCACGCGACACGCTTTCGCGTGGGCCACAAAACCCCTGAGTGAGCTGACCACACGCGGGGACGTGCAGAGCCGCGGGGTGGGAGGCGGGGCTGGTCCCGCGACAGAGGTTGCCCCTCGTCCAGCTCCCGAACCCCAGACGCCCGTCAAGGGTGTGTCTGTCGCTCTGGGTCCAGGGAGTGTGGGCGGGCGCCGCACGGCAGTTCCTGGGGCCAGGCCTGGGCGGTTGACCAGCTGCGAGGGCACAGAGTGGCTCCTCCCGGCGGGCACGATCTCTCGGCACAGCGGCGTCCCTGGGCCGGGGCACGGCTGCTCCTCGGAAGCGTTTGTTTGCACAGACGGCTCAGCCCGGCACACGGCGGCTCTGCAGCGTGTTCAGGTTTGGTTTTCGTGTCTGAGCCTCTGACCCACCACGCTGGCCCTGCAGCTGCGCAGCCGTCCGAGGCTTGCAAAGGTCTCTGTCCAGCGCAGTGGCTGGGGGAGGGGCTGTTAGAAATGCAGATTCCCGCCCCCCAAGACGACTAGACCAGAAGTGCGGGTGGTGCTCCCCGCAGCCCAGGTTTTAACAAGTCCTCTGGCTGTTCCGACGTCCGATGTTTGAGGGCGGCTAAAACAGGCCCCTTCTGCGAGAACCTTCTGCATGCGGCGGACGGGGTGCCGGGCTCTCAGGGAGCGCAGCCGCGTGTCCGCTTCGCCGGCTGGGGGTCCTCACTCCAGAAAGGCGGGATTCTCCATGT